GAATGGAACTGGTGTTGAATGTCCCACTTGGCCCTGCTCCAAAGTTGAGTGCTCCAGTTGTAGAACTGGGACCTGGGGCTGGCACATTGACCACAAAGTTCCCACTACCAGCAGGGGCTGCAGAGCTCATGAACACAAGCCGACCTGGAGTGCTTTTGGCAAATGTGGGCTGAGGGGTGGCTCCTGGGGCAAAAGGAGGTCTGAAAGTTGCAGTCGGGCTGCTCACCAACTGCACAGGCAAGCTGGTGGAACCTGGGATGGACGCAATGCTGCTACTCACCAGCATGCTCCCAGAACCAGAAATGACCGCAGGAAACGGCAAATAGCTGTCCCTGGAGCCAGGGGAAGACCGGAAGATAACAGCCTGGGAAGGAGGTGTGCTATCCATGTCATCACAATCAGGCTTGATTGCAGAGTCTGCAGAAGCACTGCCTACTGACGTGGAGTTGGCTACAGGTACAGTCAGAGCTAGGCTGGTGGCTCTCTGCTGATGCCCATCAAGAGCCCCAAACATGGGCTGAGGGGTGGCTTTTGGGCCAAACGGAAGACTGTAGCTTGTGGTAGGGTAGCTGACTATAAATGCTGGTGGGTTGGTGGAGACTGGGGCCTTTGCAGGGGATACCTTATCTCCACAGCCATGGTCCTTGGCAAGTGGGAGGGAGCTCACACCAGAGCCTGGGGGAGTTGTGAAGATGACAGCCTGTGACTGGGGAGAGGTGTCCATGTCTGTTGGGAGGGACCTCACACCGGAGCCTGCAGGAGATGTGAAGATGACAGCCTGTGATGGGGGAGAGGTGTCCATGTCTGTTACGTCAGGATCCAAAACAGGCTGAGAGATGGAGTTTGAGGAGGTGGTGGCTGCAGTTGTGGGAGTGATGGGCTGGCTGGTGAAGACAAGGGTGCTGGCAGAAGTGACAGGAAGAGGAGGAGAGGGTGGTGAGAAAAAAGGAGGAGAATCCACCAACATGGGGATGGGGAACTCCTCTCTGAGGGAGGTAGGCTGGAAGGAGAAGGTTGAGGTGCTAGGAGGTGTGGGGAGGCCAGAAGTAGAAGGTGCTACATCAGGGACTAAGGGATAGAAACAGAGAGAACCACCATTCTCATTACTGAGTGCACCTCCCAAAATGGGATTGGATGTTAAGGAAGAGCAAGATTTAGATGGAACAGCCAAAGAAGGAGTGTTAGGCTTTTTGCCTCTTTCTTCAAGACCAGTCTCTCGTGCCAGGGATGGTCTAGGGGAGCACAGGATGGGTGGGCTGGTAGACAGGCTGGTAAAGTCAGTGGACGACATTGTTGGGATCGGCAGAGTGGAAGTGGTACAAGAGAGGGAGTCTGTGGTGGTCACAGCAGACAGGGAGGAAGGCCTGGTAGATTGAGTGGCACTGCAGTCTGATGTGGCCTCTGTTTTGTCCTCCAAGGCTGTGTGATTCCGTTGAAGCTCAGCTGTCTTCTTCAAGCATAGGTCTTCAGAGACGGCTTTACGAGGGAGCTTAGGAGGTGGGGGCAGCTCACCTAGATCCCCAGGCAGTGGTACCAGCAGCAGTCTCCGTTTACAGGGTCTATGACAGGCAGATGTGCTGGATGGAATGCCTGAAGGCTTTTCCGCCTCCTTCTCTTTCCCTGACCCCAGGGAGCCTGGAGACCTGGGCTGATGGCCTTCCTCCAGCCCTTTCTTTGTTGACTCTGCAGATCTCTTGGACAGGCCAGAGGGCCCTGTTGTATCTGGATCAGGTTTCTCAAGGGTCAGGGCACCTCCAGCAGAGCTGCATGAGCTGGCGGTGGCACAGTCTTCGGTGAATGAGCTCCCAGGTGACACCTGGGCTTTGCTGTTTTCTGGGTCCTTGTGGTGGAGGGTTCCCTTCAGAGGCCCATGAATGTGCCAGGAGGAAGTGACGGCTCCATTGGTCTCCAGGGGCCTAGATGCAGAAGGTGCACTGCTAATGCTGTGGGGGCTCTGATTGTCCTTATCCTTCCCTTTCCCTTTCCTGGACTCTCCTAGGACACTCTGCTCAGTCTCCTTTGGGCAAGGACGTGGGGGGTGACTGGACGCCACTGGTTTCACAGGACTGACTACCTGCTTGAGTGGCAAAGGGAGAGTCCATTTGCGCCCTGGAGGAGGGATCTTTACGCTTCCTTGGTGGCCGAAGGTCCGGAGCACCAGTTGCTTCTTCGGAGGGCTCCCCCAGGACAGCAAGGGACGGACCCCCAGGGACGAACAGTGAGCCTGCCTGATCGCATACTGCCTCTTCGGGGCGATGTAAAACCGAGGTGGTAAATGCACGCGACGCTGGCTGAGCAGTTCGCTGGGAAGAGGGTGGAGGAGAGTCGCAGGGGCAGCGGGGTGACCCCGGCCCAAGGCAGGCACACAGTGGAGGGGGTGACCCGGTGGGCGCCGGGCGGGCGGAGGGCAGCGGCAGGACAGGAGGTGAAGTTTGCTAAAGAAGTTATGCATGAAGAGCGATGTGTGTGTTCTTCAGTCCCAAAAATGGAGTAGAAACGTGGAGAGGTCTCCTAGCGTCTAACTCCTCCGAGGGTGAAACACACACTGACCAGCCCCAGCCTGAGGCTTGTGACACCTCATCAGGACTCGCGACATAGCAAGGGGACGAAACAAAGGCACCAGTGGGTAAAGGGTGGGGCCCCATGGCCCAGCCCCACCTGGACTTTAGCGCCTGGGGACTTCCCACTTGCATTGCAGGTGTTTGGCATCGGATGGACCCCATGCTACTAGGGACTGTTTAGAACCGTCATGCTCGGAGAAGAAAGATTTGAAAACTCCCGGCCTTCACATGGCTTTGAGATTGAATCTTGTTTCTTTGACCTGTTTCATTCTAGTGTTTTTCTCTCTCCTCCCTCATGAGACTGATGTTCTGTATCAGGCATATGCCATGTGGAAGTTTCAAAGCGTAGCATTTTAGAGATCAATAAGCTATTTTAATGGTTTTCTGTTTGGTTGGGTTTTTTTTACCTATTTAAAATAAGATTGGACATAAATCGTACGTTACAAAATTGGTTTTAGCCCTCTGCTCCTGTGATTCCTTTCATAGTCTATCAGCGAAAATGTGGATTTCCATCCCCAACAAACTTTGAGATTGTTAGACACCAAAGATTTTGCTCAGACCCAAATTCTGTTTGAAAAGAGGAGAAGTGTTATGAGTCTTTTCTAACCTCTCCAGGAGCAGAAACAATTTACAGTTATGACATCTAACCACAATTCCTTGATATCATTGAGGGGAGTTGAATAAGAAACAATCTATTTTTCTTTCTTTACTTTTTTTATTGTTGTAAATAATGTATAGATAGACAGATAGGTAGACAGATATCACTAAATTGTACACCTGAAAAATTTTGAATTAGCAAACATTTGCCAATTCAACGTTTTTGAGGTGTACAATTTAGTGATATCAATTACATTAATCATGTTGTGCAAACATCACCCGCAATCATTGCCAGATTTCCCGTCACCATAAATAGGCACTCACTGTTTCATAAACAATGATTCCTACCTTCCCCTTCCCTCCAACCCCAGTAACCACTAATAAACGTTAGTCTTTATATATCCATTTGCCAATTCTCATTATTTCATATAAGTAAGATCACGCAACATTTATCCTTTTGTGACTGACTTATTTCACTCAGAAGAAACAACCTCTTGCCTGTGTTTGAGCAAACATTGTAAGCTGAAACAAATTTTGGACAAAGATTTCTTACAGGAATTCTGAAAAAAATGACGGCATACTTTGATCAGGTTTATTTGAAAACAATATATTGCAATCATGTTATTTCCATTTTTATCCCAAAGAAAAAGGAAAATGGATTAAATATATGATGAGTGTTGGGACTTTGGAACAATAAAGGGAGAATTTGGACAAGAGTATCCCAGAAAAATATGACTCTTGATTTTTCCTATCAAATGGGAAAAGATTGACAAGGTGCTTTTTGAGATCTAGAATATTCTCTTACTTGTTCTTGTAAAGCAAAATTATGTTAGGTGGCAGGTGGTCTTTCTGAGACAATTTGACTTGGCTGGAGCAAACGAGAGACAAAATGTGTCAAGGCAAAATATTGTCATGAAAATATATTAACTAAATAAATAATACATATTGAATAATAGCGATTTACCATTGTCGGATGAGCATACTCTTAATTTGAGAATTTGTAAACTACCAACCTCCAGTCACCTCAAATGAACCTAGGGATGGTTAGTCATTGCATGGGATTGTAGTAGTGGCAATAAATAAATTATAGCTGACAACCTGTGACTGAACACTCTCCTTCCTTGTTTTCTTGTGTCAATCAATCATAATCAGTCAATTTCTTGTCAACAATCTATTGTAATTTTTATAGTTAATGTGTGGACATACTGCATGACCCATGGAGCACATTAAATAAAGCTCCCACACACACACACAAAATAATTTTAGTGTCCTTGTTTTCAGCCTCTTTTCTCCCTTCTGACTTCTACTATAACCAGGGCACAGCGAAATACGCTGGCTTTGTACAGCACCTTCTTAGGGTAGTCTTTTCTTGATTGTTTTATCTCTCACTCCTATTTCACTTTTTGCCCTCCATAAATGTATCAAAATATTTCTGTGTAACTTCCACACACAAAATTTCTTAGCTTTTATTTTTATGTTAATTTTTGTGTTTCTATAATATTGTTTGAACGTGGTTTTAAGAGAAACAGAAGGTAAATACATGTCTCTAGTTTACCATCTTCATCTAGAAGCCCCTGTTGATTCTAGTTTCCAATATTCCCACAGGAGAAACCCAACCTTGGTATTAACAGATGTAAATTTAAGTCTTCAACTTTTCTTGACCGATTACTAAGGATTTAGGGCATGGTAATTTTTAATGCCATCACAAATCTATCAGTTTGTCATACTGTTGTGGCTTGTGTGTAGCTATGGTGTTAGAAGTTATGCCATCAGTATTTCAAACACTAGCAGAGTCACCCATGTTGGACAGGTTTCAGTAGAGTTTCTAGACTAAAACAGAGTAGGAAGAAAGGTCTAGCAAGCTACTTCCAAAAATTAGCCAATAAAAACCCTATGGATCACAACAGAGTATTGCCCAACATTGTGCTAGAAGATGAGTCCAAATATACCAACAATCATGAAGACAGCACAGGAAGAGGCAACATTTCATTCTGTTATACGTAGAACTGACTCGAAGCTGACTTGAGAGCAACTAACAACAATTTCTTTTAATTTTTAATTTTTTTTTGTACTTCAGATGAAGGTTTACAGAGCAAACTAGTTTCTTATTAAACAATTAATACACATATTGTTTTGTGACATTGGTTGCCAACCACACGACATGTCAACACTCTCCCCTTCTCAACCTTGGATTCTCCATAACCAGCTTTCCTGTGCCCTCCAGCCTTCTTGTCCTTGCCCCTAGGTTGCTGTGCCCATTTAGTCTTGTTTTATTTTATGAGCCTGTCTAGTCTTTGCTGAAGGATGTACCTCAGGAGTGACTTCACTACTGAGCTAAAAGGGTGTCTGGGGACCATACTATCAGGGTCTCTCCAGTCTCTGTCACACCAGTAAGTCTGGTCTTCTTTGTGTGTGCGTGTGATTTAAAATTTTGCTCTACATTTTTCTCCAGCTCTGTCCAGGACCCTCTATCATGATCCCTGTCAGAGAAGTCAGTGGTGGAAGCCAGGCACCCTCTAGTTGTGCTGGAATCAGTCTGGTGGAGGCTGTGTAGTTGTATTCCGTTAGTCCTTTAGACTAATCTTTCCCTTGTGTGTTTGGTTGTCTTCATTCTCCCTTGCTCGTGAAGTGGTAAGACCAGTGAAGTATCTTAGATGGCCACTCACAGGATTTTAAGACCCCAGACACTACTCACCAAAGTTGAATGTAAAACATTTTCTTTTTAAACTGTTATGCCAATTGAGCTAGGTGTTCCCCGAGACCATGGTCTCCACAGCCCTCCGCCCAGCAATTCCATCCCTCGAGGAGTTTGGATGTGTCTATGGGGCTTCCATGACCTTGTTTTGGGCAAGTTGTGCTGGCTTTTCCAGTACTGTGTACTGTCTTACCCTCCACAAAATTTATCACTTATGTATTGTCTATTTAGTATTTTTCCCTCCCAACCCTCCCCTTGTAACCATCAAAGATTGTTTCTTTTTGTGTGTAAACCTTCCATGAGTTTTTATGTTAGTGGTCTCATACAATATTTGTCCTTTTGTGATTGACTTGTTTCACTCAGCATAATACCTTCCAGTTTCATCCATGTTGTGAAATGCTTCACAGAGTCATCGTTGTTCTTCATCATTGCATAGTATTCCATTGTGCGTATGTACCATAGCTTCTTTATTCATTTATCTGTTGATGGGCACCTAAGTTGTTTCCACTTTTTTGCTATTGTGAACAATGCTACAATGAACATGAGTGTACATATGTCTATTCATGTCCAGCTCTTACTTCTCCAGGTTATAGTCCTAGGAATAGGATTACTGGATCATATGGTATTTCTATTTCTAGCTTTTTAAGGAAGCATCATATCATTTTCCAAAATGGTTGTGTCAGTTTGCTTTCCCACCAGCAGTGCATAAGAGCTCCAATCTCCCCCACAGCCTCTCCAGCATTTGTTATTTCTGTTTGTTTGTTTGTTTGTTTTTTGATTCGTGCCTGTAATGTTGGGGTGAGATGGTATGTCATTGTGGTTTTGATTTGCATTTCTCTAATAACTAATGATGATGAGCATTTCCTCATATATCTGTTAGCTGCTTGAATGTCTTTAGTGAAGTGTCTGTTCATGTCCTTTGCCCATTTTTTAATTAGATTATTTGTCTTTTTGTTGTAGAGGTGTTGGATTTTCCTGTAGATTTTAGAGATTAGAATTTTGTTGGTTTTGTTATAGCCAAAAATTTCTTTCCAGTCTGTAGGTTCTCTTTTTACTCTTTTAGTGAAGTATTTTGATGAGCATAAGTGTTTAATTTTTGGAAGATCCCAGTTATCTAGCTTATCTTCTGGTGTTTATGTATTGTTGGCTATGGTTTGTATCCTGTTAATGCCATGTATTAGGGCTTCTAGCATTGACTGTACTTTTTCTTCTATGATCTTTATAGCTTTTGGTTTTATATTTAAGTCTTTGAACCATTTTGAGTTAGCTTTTGTGTATGGTGTGAGGTATAGGTCCTGTTTCATTTTTTTGCAGATAGACATCCAGTTTTGTCAGCATCATTTGTTAAAAAGACTGTCTTTTCCCCATTTGATGGACTTTGGGCCCTTGTCAAAGATCAGGTGACCATAGGCGGGTGGATTTACATCTGGGTTCTCAATTCTGTTCCATTGGTGAATGTATCTGTCATTGCACCAGTACCAGGCTATTTTGACTATTGTATCTGTATAGTAGGTTCTGAGGTCAGGTAGTGTGAGACCTTCTACTTTATTCTGCTTCTTCTATAGTTCTTTACTTATCTGGGGCTTCTTCCCTTTCCAT